AGCACTTCTTTGGCTCTGTTTCAGAGCTAAGGTTTCTTCCCTCATTTTCTTGGCGGTTGGGAAGCTTGGCCGTCGCTCCCGAGCCTGAAAAGGAAGCCAGTATCTCGGGTCAGCATTACCCTTATTCCATATATCTTTCAATTTCGTTAGAAGCTCAGAGGCGCCAGCTCGTGATAATAGGTTATCGGTATCGTCTGGTCGTGGAGAGATCGCAGGTGCGCTGGTCTGGATTGCGTCGGTATCTGTAATTCTAATCGAGGGCCTTTGGTCCTGAGCCGCAGCGGAGCCGGAAGTATCATCATCGTCGCTGTGATTTGAATCCGAAGCGTGACTTTGAAGTTGTGAGGTAGCTGCCTCCTGCTGGGCAGATAGCTGAAACGTGCCGGTTCCCATGCCAGGGTGTAATTTGACGACCAGAAGTCGATCGCGAACAAGGGCAAGAAGATCCCCAAGAGCAGTCCCATCGGCACACTCTGGCTCCAGCGCCATGTTTCGCATCCATCCAACAATCGCGGGGTCAACATGCGCGGTCTCATGGCCAGGTAGACCTTCCATGGTGAAGCAAGGATATCCGCCCATAGCTTCATGGAATGTCTCCACACTAGAATAGCTGTAAACAAGCCAAAATATTAGCTCAAGCATTACGCATCCAGTAGACCATATGTCGGCCAGTCGGGATATACGACGAGGTTGACCGGTGGGTAGTAAATGTAACTCAAGGACTTCCGGCGCCGCGTAACGAATGGTCCAGGATGTGGTCGATGTGTTTTTCAGCCTCTCCACGGTCGCCAAGGGATTCTCCTTTGACAAGCCCCAGTCTCCCATCTTGAGAGTTCCTAGGATAGTTCCATCTTTCTTTAGAGACAATATGTTCTCGGGTTTCATGTCTCCATGGCGGATAGATAAAGAGATGTTATTATCACCGCGTGCAGGGCTGTGGGCCTCATAGATACCCGTCGCAAGTCGTATGAGTTGCTGGACGGTTTCTTTGACGAGTGCTGGAGTCAAGGTTGGGTTGCGATTCCGTTCCCAGATCTGCCGAAGATTTCCACCATCCGCCCACTCCATGATCAAACAGTGTTTGGCACCCCGTGTGAATGCGGTGACAAATCGAATGAACGGCGACTCGCGTGAATCGTCGAATTCATTTTCGTCCATCTGAATTCGAATGTCATTGATACGCTGCAAAATTGCCACTTCGTGTTCCCAAACAGCTGATACACAGATCGAGGTAACGGGCTGTTCATCGCTTGTTTCGAGATAATCAGGATCCATCGACGATAATGTGCTCCTGAAATTCTCATCACCAGCTTTGGCATCTCCATCCATCACTTTCAGAGCATAGAAGACTGGTTTTCTCCTGTCCTGTAGTTGCAATGAGAATCTGTACCATCTGTCTCTGCGGGTAGGAATGTATGCGATCGAGAAAATCTGAAATGGTTGTGTAGACATTGCACGACTTACCTCGATCGCGAGGTCTTGCAAATGATCCTCGTGGAAACGAACCTGATATACTTTGGCGAAGTGTCCCTCCCCAGACTTATCCGCTTTGGAAGTGATTGGCAATATCGAGTGAACGGGCAACGAATACGACGGTCTGGAGGTGGAGAGCACCGGCACTACGTACGTCCATTGTTTCTGGACGAACTCTTTTCTGCTGAAATCTTGCCAGACACGCTTCTCAGCGAAGCATTTCGCCAACTCTTGAGGGAAGCGCCCGTTTTGATCCAGAATTGCCGGGAGGCATTGGTCGTTAAACTTGTATTTGTAAAACAGAGTCATTGCGCTGTCCAGGCGATGCCGCAAATCGCTGCGCATGGCGATCGCAAAGACTATTGAGGCCTCATTAATGATGAATTTCACTAACTTGCCGTTGACCTTGTCAGGATCGGTAGGCGTTATCCTCTTCCGCACGGAATCCTCTGTAAGCAATAGCTTGATGCTGCCATGGGGGAGGAATTCCAAGTCCTTGTCATCAAATTTGCTGACACAAAACTTTTTCTCAATGGTGTCTTCCAGAGCGGACTCTGAGAAGTCGGAATCATAAGAGACTTGAGGTTCTGGTTCGAGATCATCGGTTGCTGAATGGTCTCTGGACGCAATGTCCAGTACTCGACCCGACATCATGAGCATAGCACGTCTTGGAGAACGAGGATCATACGGCGATTGAGAGAAATTTTGAGTATTTTTGTATTTATCGTTTGTCTAGATCACCGAGAGAGACAAGCCGGAGGTCTGAAACTACCGGGTGATGAATATAACGGCCGTGTTTTCACGCGAACCGTCTGCTAGCGTCAGGCAACTTCGCAACCCTGTGGCTTGCATAGCGCATGCTGAGGTGGTGTGAAAGCTTCATCGCTCAACATTTTAATTGGAGAGGGCTGCAGGCCGTTTCACAAAACTGCTGCAGAAGTATTGCTGCCTACTACACTAGAATAAACTGACTGGATGGCAGCGTGCGAAGCCTATTGACTGCTCAAGGCAGTGGCATCCATTCGGCAGTGCCATTGGAAACGCCGGCAAACTGTGAGGCTCTGCAAAGACTTCGCTGGCCACTGTCTTGAAGCTTCCAGCCAAGATCACGCATTGTGAGGCAAACGAGGCAATCGGTGACGCGATTTCCGCCGTTTCCCATGTCAACTTTGTAGATGTTCCTCATTCACCCTTTTCAATGTTTCTGTGCTTGTGCCGGTACGCAGGCCAGTGTTTAGTGATAACTGAGAGAATGATCTGCTCCAGTGCGCGCGCTCTCTCTCTCTCAGAATAACCCTGGCAAATTAGTACCTCTGCAATGATAGGCTTTGAAGCATCGAGAAGCTTCACGGATCGATTACCTACCCATTACCCTGTGGGGTTTTGCTGGAACTCCCGGTCACTGCGGGGCTGTTGGCGAACCGGAGACGGGCCATGCGGAATCAAGGCGACTATGGACCAAAGGTGGTCGATAGGCGGCGCTTCTAATTGCCACGGGGACGAAATCCCCAGGAAAGACACAGGAAGTGTTCCAAAGTGAAAGAGACTGGGGCTTGACCAATGTGATTTGGAGCGTGCAATGTTCCTCGAGTTCTGGATCCATGTGTGAGTTGGTGAAATCACTCATGTAAGTACACTGGCGTGAGCATCTTCTCAGTGACCGACTGGGATGGTAAGACTTCCGCACATCTCTATCGCAGGCAGAGCCTTAAGACGACGACGTACTGATTGTCGTTTTAGCAGCAAGACGCTTTATAATAAGATCATGCCCCTCGTTCAGCATGCGCCTGGCAGAGATCAAGATATGGTCCTCTGCAGTCTTGGTGAGGATCGTAACCAGTATGCCAATACCGGTAGCCTTTCAGTCCGCTGCAGAGATGCGGCCTACCAATGGGCAGGGGTGACAGGATATTCCCTGTGACGACTTACTAGCAGGGGCCTGCCATGGTCGCCAACAGCGATGCGGCTGTCAGAGAATGATGGAGGATTAGGCTTGGTTTTTGTAAGGTCAATGGCGGGATTCCAGGAACGAGTAAGCAAGCAACTTTGTGTAAGCGACGAAAAAGACGTCATTCTGGGGTACTACTAATCACCGTCACACACATTCACCAGACAGGAGAGAGCGTGTAAAACATCGGGTATGCGCCTATCTCCTAAGCTCCGACACATCGAAATTCGCGACAGTCCGCAAGTCCGCGCCCCGCGACGTGTGCCATATTGAACTACCTAGGCTCGGCTAGGTATTGCGAACGAGAGAGGCTCTCTGGCAGTGGGATGGCTCGGATGGGACTTACAAATGACCGGAGCCTCCGCCCCGGGAAGCAATAAGGTTCCGCGCGCGAAAGACGCCAGCGAAGCGAAAGAAAGAAGGGGGCGTGACTCTTCCAGCTGGTTGGATCTGAGGGCATGTGGGCGTCTTGGCTCGAGGCTGGAACCTGGAATCATTCCTACGGGAATGGGATTGACGTCAAGCCTTGGAAACAGGAACAACAAAGCAGATAGCAGCTAGTAAGAGAGCGAGCGGGCGAGTGATGCGAGAGAAGCGAGAGAATCGCCTGAATCAAGGCCAGGCCACTAAGGCCGCTTTCGGGCGGCCCCATCCAGCCCCAAAGCGCCACCGAAGATTCCAGTTCGCGGACCCGATCCACGCTTACCGAAGCTTCCGAGGCATGGCCCAAAATCGAAGCAGACAAAGTACCTACGTAGGAGCCTGCCAGCCTGCGAGCCTGCTTTTCTACTCTAGGTACTCTAGATACTCTAGCTCGTCATGCATGGCTGGCTGTCTGCGGGCAAGAAAAATGCATCTTTGCTAGGACCAAATGCCGTAGATCGTCAATTAGATAATCAACATCATCAGACCCCCCCGATCTCCTGCTATCCCCGTCAGTCACAGGAGCCGGTTTTTCGCGGATAACCGGATCGTGCCTTTTACCTGACCCAGCCTTACCACTACCGTGCTGTTATTTGCTATTATTATTACTTTTCTTCGCGCTTCTATCGAATACCGCGGTCCAGCGAGCGAGCCCACGCGCGCGCAGCGGAAGCTCCGGTCGGGCAAGAGCTTTGACTCGCCTTTTGGGCCCATGCCATGGGATGGGGATGGGGGTACTTGGACGGAGGTCTCTTACTCATCCCTTACCTTAGCTTCTGCACGCAAAGGCGGGACGATAAGTACTCGCAGTAGAGTACCGGTAGACTACGAGTAGAGTACGAGAATAGAGTGTGCAGCATGCAGCAATCCAATCCTGCTGACTGATTGATTGATTGATTGTGCAGTCTTTTCAAGCTTTTCGGTCGCGTTCCTTTAAATTGCTTGTCTGCTCGTCTGTTGTTGACATCAGTCCTCCCTCCCCTCCCCCTCCTCCTTTTCTACATGCACACACAAACCCTCCCACCAATCCAGCTTCCCAAAATCATACGTAGACAGTAATCATCCGGGGTTGCCTCCTCTAGTTCCGTCGCCTCCGCACTCCCGGGAGCACTACGACTACTGCGCCACACAGCCAAGCGACGCATATTCGAACGTCATGTCTACAAGCACTCTCGCCAAGCTGCGCGAGGCCATCGCCTCGTCGCCGCTGCGGCCGCGATCGAAGGCTTCCACACCGGCGGGCTCACAGAAAGGCACCCCAAAGGGCGGCTCGCCCCCGGAGGCAACGCCCAATGGCTCTATCAAGGGCGGTCCTGCCAAGGGCAGCGCCATGAAGGAAGCGTTGGCCATCGCCAGGGGCGGCTCGGGAAGCGCAAAGTCCAGCGGCTCTTTCAGCTCTCGTCGCAGCGAGGACAGGGCGAGGCTGAAGCAGGAGAAGGCAGAGAAGCGCGAGCGCATCCAGAGCGAGATTGACGAGCGACGAAGGTTAGAAGACGAGAAGGCCAAGCAAGAGGAGGATGAGCAGACGCAGGCTCGGTATGGAGAGGCAGATGAGCACCCGGCGCATCCCCTCGAGCTTAGCAGAATCGAGGAGCTGGCCGACATGGCAGAGGGCACCGAGGTGACCTTCCGTGCCAGGATACACACCCAACGGCGCATCTCTGCTGCCCTCGACTTCCTTCTGTTCCGCGATCAGACACACTCCATCCAGGGCGTCATGACGAGCGAGCATTGCACGCCTCACATGGTTAAATGGGTTCAGCGCCTGCACCCCGAGTCTCTCATCCAAGTCACCGGCACGCTCAAGAAGCCAATTGAGCCTGTCAAGTCCGCGCGAGTCCCCGACCTTGAGGTGCTTGTCTATTCCATCCACTTGATCAGTGCCGCCGAGGACCTACCCTTCGACAACTACTACATGAACCAGGAGTCTCTACACAAGCGCATGACCGCTCGAGTCCTAGACCTCCGCCATCCCTCCAACCAAGCGCTATTCCGCATTCGCGCTGCCATTCTCCGCGAGTACAGGCGCAAGCTCGATGACTTAGGCTTCATCGAGATCAACACCCCCAAATTGCAAGCAGCTGTTGCCGAAAGCGGTGCAGAGGTCTTCAAGGTCAACTATTTTGGTCGTAGAGCCGTTCTAGCACAGAGCCCGCAATTGAACAAGCAGATGTCAATCTCGGCCGATTTCAAGAGGGTCTATGAGGTGAGTCAAGCATTGATATCTGATTGAGAAGCAGGTTAATGACAATTCCATAGATTGGTCCCGTTTTCCGCGCGGAAAACTCCAACACCAAGCGACATTTGGCCGAATACACCGGTCTAGACGTAGAAATGGAGATCACAAACGATTATCACGAGGTTATCAACACCGTCGACAGCGTGCTCAAGTCCATATTTGCCGCCATCTCCAAGATGCCCGAGATCCAGGTTGTGCGAGAGCGCTGGCCGAGCGAGGACCTTCAGTGGCTGGAGCAGACCCCTGTCATCCCCTTCAAGGAGGGTATCCAGATGCTGCGCGACGATGGGCGCGATGTCGAGGAGGAGGACCTTTCAACCCGAGATGAGATCCGCCTTGGTGAACTTGTGAAGGAGAAGTACAAGACCGATTACTACATCCTCGATAAGTTCCCCGCCAGCGCGCGACCGTTCTATACCCACCCCGATGAGAACGATCCTTTCTGGACGAACTCGTTCGACATTTTCCTAAGAGGCCAGGAGATCTGCAGTGGTGGCCAACGTATTCACAACCCCAAGAAGCTTCGCGAGAGCCTGGAGAAGGCGAACCTCCCCGAGGAGGACATGGAGGAGTACCTGTCTGCGTTCGATCTCGGCGCCCCGCCTCACGGTGGTGCTGGTCTGGGTCTGGAGCGAGTGGTGGCTTTCTTCCTAAACTTGGGTGATGTCAGATTTGGCACGATGTACTACCGCGATCCCAAGTCTCTTCCCGAGCGCTCGCCCAGTCTGCCGCATCCCGATTCCGACACCACTAAGCCTCACCCCGAAGGCAAATTACCACCACTGGAGAACCTGATTGCCAATTATGGCGATGCTACAAATACCTCCTGGTTGGACGATCGATTTGAGATCTGGAGACATCATACTGGTGCTGCTGTCGGCTACAACAAGCGCGACAAGTTCGTCATGGTCGTCGGCGACCCGCTTTGCGACGTGAAGCAGTACCGCGATGTGATCGGCGCCTTCCTCGAGTTTGTCGAGAAGGACCTGAAGATGACGCCCGTCTGGATGCTCGTGTCCGACTACGTCCAGCGCGTGCTAGGCGAGCAGATGGGCTGGCGCACACTGACCTGCACAGAGGAGCAGCGCGTCGACGCAGACAAGCATGTCACGCCTAGCGGGCACCACGCGCGCCGCGTCGAGCGCGAGGGCATCAAGATCCACGAGGTGCGGCCGAACGAGGATTTCATCAAGCGCACGGACGAGAGCATCGAGGCGTGGAAGAACGCCCGCAAGGGCATCGCCGGCAAGCAGGTCCACCTGACGGACGTGCGGCCCTGGATCGACCAGGTTCATCGCCGCTATTTCGCCGCCGAGAAGGATGGCAAGGTCCTCGCTCTGGTGGTCCTCGCGCGCCTGGCACCCCGCTACGGATGGCAGCTCAAGTGGGCGCTCGACTTCCCCGGCACGCCCAACGGCACCATCGAGACGCTGATCGAGTTTGCCTTGTCGGGCTTGTCCGGCCCGGTCACCTTCGGCGCGGGTGTTTCGCAGCGCCTGACGCCCGGTGCGCATCTGCACGGTGTGCGGGCCAAGTTCCTGTCCAACGTCTACGATACCGTCGTCAAGACGCTGAACTTGAGCAAGAAGTCCGAGTTTCGACAGAAATTCGGCGCGTACGGCGAGCAAATCTACATCTGCTACCCGCGCCACTCGCTCAAGGTGACCGATTTTCAGCATATTATCGGTTTCTTCAGGGAGTAATCGTTGGGAAGCAGAGGATATCGATTAGGGAGGGGGTAGAAGAAGGAAAAGAGACACGGAGTTCGGGCGTTTTGCTCTTTCGGATTTGCTGCTCATTGCAAATTTCCATGTCGTTGGATGCTTTTGTTCTCTGCTCAAAGATACCAACTGCGGCACGGTGATCCGTTGGCCGATATGATGGACATGACAAGACTGATGTCGCTGGAAGCATGATGCTAGATACGCTGTCTTTCAAGAGTATGACTGCGATGAGAGTTTGGCAATAGAATTAGGATAGACAATACATCACGTCGTCTAGATGGTCTCGCTCCAGCCCCTCCAGTGACCAAGTACCTTGGCCCCGCCTTCAATTCGACCCTGACCCTAGGAAGGATATACAGGGTCATGATCAGCCTACACTCGCCCAATGACCAGGCCCTGGGAATCACCAAGGATTGGGGACTATTAAGCTTCTCTTGACGACAGACCAAGCGCTGCTCGGCCTAGAACCAACCTCGTCCAGTCACATCGACCAGCGCCAGCCACAACGTGGGCTAAGCAATGGACGCCGGTCCAGCTCTATTCTGTTCCGCCATGTGCTCTGCCTTGCCGCTCTCTGGCCAGAACTTGCTAATCAGATCATGCCAGCCCAGAAGGGCTCCCTGGGTGGCTGATCAAAGTGTCAAAACTTCACGCCCGATCAGATCCAGTTAAGCTTATCGATAGTCTCTTTCTTGGGGCAAATTAAAGCTTCCAAGGTTCATCGCACGCATTGATCATTTGCCCTGTTGCCAACGCCACTTCAGCCGCAGCCTAGAACTTCCAATCAAAAGAGCCCGCGACTTTACACTATCTCCTGTCTCCCAGACTTTTCCCTCACACCTTCGCAATGCCAAGAAGTCGGTGATAAGGCTTTCGTCAAAAGGGGTGAAGGGTGATCGCCATGATGCTTCGCTTCGGTAATGGCATGGTCTATTAGCCATGTAACATATATATCAGAAAATGGGTGGCCCCTTTATGAGCCCCTGATGTCTCGGCATTAGGACTCTCCACAAGTGAATACCTAGGTACAGATAGAGAGTTGTCCAAAACATGGCAAATTCGTTGAATGCCACATATTGCAATAGCACTGACGGACCAGGCATCACATTGACGTGCAGTGGGCCAGAATGCATAGCTTTCATCAACAACCCCCCCTTCTCCCTTCAGTGTAGCGAGACGAAGGATGGCGCATCGTGTTCGAACAGTCGCGCTTGCTCTGGTAGCGCGTACAGCAGTTCCATTGGCCTTACAAGCAACTGCAGTAGCATCACCTCACAGAATGTCGTCGTTGCGAATGCCACGCGCCTCGTGATAGAATCAGATCGCATTCTCAACGGGTCATACCCGGCAGCTTGTCAAAGTGCTACCGCCGCAGGCATCCTGCCCTCTGCAAACAGGACGACTTCCACAGACCCAGCGTTCTCAGTAACGCCGCCAGCAACATCGTTCGCTCGGAGACTTAGCCCTCTCTACATGGAATCTGGTGCCATGAAAGGATTGCTGGTCATGTTGATCCTATTGAGCTGGATATTACCAGCCACAGCAATGTCTTGGCCATGGGCAAATCTCTACCAACTCGATGCAGGCGAGGCCCCAACACTGACAATCAGAGAAACAACAAACACAGTAACTAGTAAGCTAGCAGAAATTGGGTACAAGATGCTAGATAATATCGACGAAGGAGCTTGTACAGAATCACGTCAAGCATTCAAATCGATTGTCAATGATTTGAGATCCGGCTCAATGGACAGCTTGCAAGACGTTGAGAAGCAATTCTCCCAAGGTCAGACCATAGCTGCACTGAATGGCACGCTCGCCGCCATGCTCGGGAAAGGGGAAGACGGCCTCGTGAAGAACCTAGGTGCCGGAAGTGGTGGCCTGGACCTACTGTGCACACTCGAGGTGCACGTCCTGGTGAACCAGCTCGTCGACCAGACTTTCCAACAACTCACGCCCCCTGCGCCGTCCACCACGACGACCACATCCTCTTCTACCCTCCCGACCGCAACCGCGCTGCCTGGCTGCAACGCGGCGAACTACTCGAGCTCGGACATTTTCTATCAAAATAACACGTTTGGTACGGATGATTGGCGAGACTGCCTGTCGTGCTGTGTTGCGTGGGCTCAACAAGACTATGCAAAGTTTGGAGGGGTCTGCGGTTGCTGCATCCTTGTGAGTTGAGACACGACTCCCTATCAGAAAGCTAGGTGAGAACCGAGAAGATGAATGGAATGCTGATATCCCTCACTAGGCTGTTCAGTTTGAAACTATGGACAATTGCTGCGATGAAACTTACATGGATCACTGCTGTAGTGTCGGCTGTGGCATCTCATAGATTGTTTTGAAAGCGTGTCGGCGTCTAGTGTACAGATCGTTGGAGGACGATTTATGGATTTACATATGGGAACTGATTTCATATGTGAACTTTTCGTATATGCTCCTTATCAGTAACGAGGTATGATTAGCATTTGCAGCTTTCCGTATTATGACCTAGCAACAAATCCCAGCCCCAAATGCAGTGAGCACCTTGCAAGTCAGAAATTTCAACTCCTATTCGATCCAGATGGATTTGCTTTTCGTTATATCCCATAGCTCACCACTCATGACACCGTGCAAGTAACAATCTCCAACAATCATATAACGTTGACCACTCTTTCGTAAAATGAACGGAGCTCTGGAGCCAGCCAAAAGCACAGCTAGATCGCCAATCTTTGTGTGCCTCGGTGCTAGACCGAAATACCCTGAGGCAGTCTTGACCAGCCTTCTTCTGGGCAAAGGCATAACATCGTAAAGGGAATCTAACACTGAGAGAGCGTTGGAGCCAAAAGCTCGAGCGTAATTAAGCTGAAAACTCTTGATGATTCCGCAAAGCCGTCGAAACGGTGACGGGACGCTCCGTAGAAAGCCGAAGTTCTCTAATATGAACGTTTCGAATTGCTCCATAGCATCTTGATCCTCTTCCGATGAGTCGACAATGGCGTCGGGACAGATGACATGACGGAAGGCATTTGCAACGGGCTCTTCGGAATCGCGGTAGGAACCCCCATCATCTACGCCAGCAATACGTCGCCATGAAAGATAGGTCACGACATCACTGACTAATAGAGAATCCACCCCACTCGCATAACGAGATTTTGAGTCTTGTATCACTCCTCCAGCTTCTGTGACTATGTCGATCTCGTATCCTTGAACACCTAGAAGTTTCCCATCCTCCTTGAACAACGGCAAGTAAGAGGAAGAACCGCTGGCTTGAAAACGGCCGAGAGGATCAGCTACTGGGCTCCAGGCGAACAATTCGTCTCCTCGTAAATCCGTGTCCCCCGACAACGGTCTCCAGGTCCATGAAGGCATGGGACCCAGGCCCTCCTGATCGCGGCAGCCAATGCTACAAGCCAATATGCCCAAATCGCGATATGTTTCAAGATATTGTCGAGTGAATGTTTCGAACACTTCTGCTGGTCGGATATTATAGTCGACTGTGACAGGTACACAGTCTGCTCCAGGCTGGACAAGGCCCAGCATCGCGTATATCTTATCTCGAGTATCGGTAGCTCTGGCTAAGGAACCAAGCCAAATGATCGAGGGCAGACTTGAGGCCGCCTCCGAAGAGCGATAGGCGGCCCTTTGCTCAATCAGATGCGAAAGAGTTCCGTCAATATCGAGCCCTTCCGTACTGATATAATAGGCTTTCTCAATTTTATCCCAAGAAGTCTCATACTTTCCGCAGTGAACAGTCAGCCTCTCCGAGACAGCAACTTCCTGGATCACCCATACTCGTTTAAACCATGCACGATCAAACAAACGTTCCAGGGCCCGGCCAACCTGTCCCTGCCTCGGCGCTTCAAAAAGCCTCTCTAGCGGGCCCAGCTCTTTAGTATGGCCATGGCGACGGTACTTCTTACAGTCCCATGGATCAATACGATGCCCAGGATGCTCCTCAGCAAAGTGGGCAAGAGATTCGACGACGCGAAAAGCCGATGCCGTGGACAACCTCTCCCGGCCAAGCCAAACCACTGTGCGCGCGCCATTCTCGAATATGCGTGTCATGAGTGGAATCTGTGCGTTTTTCTCTTGGACGTCGCGCTGGTTGATGCAGAGCGCGTCGACCCAAAGCGTGCGCACTTCCTCCTTTCGTCGCATGCACTGGAGCTCGTCATCGAGATTGCGACCAATAAGTGCATGCATGCCATTGACGAGAATTTCCCTTCGCATTCTCTGGCTTCCCCAACAATAAGACAGAGGCTCATAGGATCCTTTGGCGCTGGCGAGGTCGACTGCTCGAAGGCGGCAACGGATGCGCGACCATCCTCTCCCCGGTAGTAGATCGAGCAGCCGGATCTGCGTCGTCGAGTCCGGCAAAGGTTCGTAGGTGAAGCGAGACATATCAATATCCGGCAGTGCGAAGCAGGCGGATCGATGCATGAGGCATCAAATCTGAGTTGCACGGCGCGACGTGCACCTTGCTGAGTGAATGGCAGCCTCGTCATGGTTGGTGGCTTTCACTCAGCCTTGATCCAGGAGTATGTGCAGCATGGGTTTCAGAAAAGGTGAAGAAATAACTTGGTACCTGATCGCACAGCGAATAGAAAAAGTGAAACGATCACTCATATTACATCATGGATGTCGACTTTCCGTAATAGGGGAAAGACTAGATCAAAGTCATGCTGTGTGTTAGTCAAAATATATGATCCTGATCAATGGCTGAGTTGGCTAAGAAGGTGCCGCCTCTCTATGTTAGGCAGGTATCTGAATTACCTACGCAGTTGTCTGGTGTTCGCGTGCTGAAGACAGCGCTAAGCTGTGAAAAGCGGTCTCATGTTGCAGTAAGTATTAGTGGATAGAGTACGTCACGTCCGCCCGCAAGCCCCCAATTATTTGAACCTTCTGAATGCTACCCTTGCCCGGGACGCTGAGCAAAGCACACTGGGACTGTTGCCAATAGTGCAATCGTCGACAGTCTCAATGTCGAGATTGTCGCG